AATCGAAAATGCGTCTTTTTGAACTGATGCTAACTTACCTTCCAATATCTTAATCATAGCCTGGTGTGATTTTATTTTTTTTAATTGTATATCATACCTGACTTTATACTCATTACGAGAAATCTGTAATTGAGTAATCTGGAATGTAAGGTTATTATTGTTTACTTTCAATCGTTTAACCTCATTAATAAGTTGGTAAACATGCTTAGAAAATTTCTCTTTATCTTTATTGGATTGATTTAGATCAAGTTGTAATTGTACTTTATCTTGTTTAATATTTTTACTAAACTCTGAATATACCTTCCGGTAGTTTTTAAAATCTTCAATAAGTTCAGAATTGGTCATACAACTATCACGTAAAGCTTCTTCAAGTTCCATTTCCCTAGTACTCCCAAGTCGATATCCTTTTGGTGAGTTAATATCTCGCATTGTACATACATTGGTCGTAATTATTTGATTCAATATGTATTGATATTTACTAATTCCTATTTTTAAAAAAAGAAACAATATGTAACAATATGTATCAATATTATAACAATACGTATCAATATGTATTAATACTTATCCATAGGTATTAATATTGTAACGATACGTATCAATACTCATCAATATGTATAATATTGGAATCAATACGTATTAATATGTATCATTATATTATTATATCATTGTATCATTGTATATATTGAAATCAATACATTTTGAAAAAATATTGATACTTTTTTTCTAATATATCAATCTTAAAATGATTACTCATATTCAACAAAAATTTTATCGATCCAATGCAACTTAATTATCTGAATTTGATATTAAAGAAATTAGAGAATCACGGGGGAAAGTACCAAATGTATCAAAGAGAATAACAAAAAAATTTCATATTGGTGCTCATCGTGTTTATGAAATATGGGAACATAATGAGCGTCTTCAATAGGGTCTTGATAAATGGGACGATTCTTCACCTTTGATTCTCATAATAAGAAATTTTTAACCATAGAAATATTGAATAATGAAGCATGTACTAAAGCTGTTAAAAATATAAAATTCAGATCTAAGCTTATTCATAATTCCAATTAATCTTCCATTAGTAATGGTTCAATCGATAAGGTGAATAAAATATTAGAAACTATATCACCTGAAATCTCACAAGAAACTGAAGGTCCTTTGAACTCTTTAAAAGAATACAAAAAGATGCTAAAAAAAGTAGAGCAGTTGCACGTGCTGATATTTCTAAACTATCTACTCTTAATTCAAAAGTATAGAATTGATTTTTTCTTTATACTGATTACGCAAATCATTATAATATTCAATAAATTCTGAATTGGTTTGAACTATACTTGCACGCAAAATTATTTTGAAGCCCCGAAATTGCAATTTCAGAGAAAAAAGTCGAAATAGTTTTTCATAGAAGACGAAATTATTTTACTTAAAACCTGAAATTTTTTGACCACCCAGATTTATTCTTTGATTAAAGATACATATAACTAGGTACTTTTTTTACTTCCATATATAGAATAGATTTTGCATAAATCTCAAAAAGTCAAAATACCTCAAAAATTCAAAATCAATTTTGAGAACATGTATAGTTTGAATACTAGTAAATAGTACTTTTTCAAGTTCCTTTATATGGATAGTCATACTTTCACAATTTACACATTTTTTTTTAAGTCTTCCTCACTAGTCAAGCTAAATGTGATAGTAGATACTTGAGACAATGAATCTTGCTTCTTTTTTGATGGATCTAATGCTTCTGGAGCCTTGCTAAAAGTTAGGATAATGTAAATCTTGCCATGTAACTTCATTCAGAATTGGTTTTTATTTGGGTCAAGAATACCTTGAACTTTTCGAATCCATGTCATACCTAAATATAACATTGGTTCAAGTTCACCATTATCAATACGTATAAAATTTCCAGTAGCTGTAACAGTTTTACCATCCTTATCCTTTATACTGACTGGTATATCCGTAAACCATCCCAATGATTCGGTGATATATTTAGAGTTACCTTTTATATCAAAGTCAGATGGCTTGTCAACTTTCCATTCAAGGACATTAATTGCTGCATTATTCAAGGCTCCAAATTCACTTCCATTATCTAAAAATGATTCAGAAATAAATAAATCATTTATACTAGCATTCAGGTATTATAGAGATGAAAACCACTCATTTGATTCTTTCTTCTGAACTGTATGAGACTGGCACATTTTTCGCATTACCGGTGAAAGTTTTGGAAATAATTCATTATATGTTATTGGTAATATCCATTTTTTTTTTTCGATGAATTATACCATATATCTTTTTCTTCATCATATCCACCCTCATTACTTTTCTCATTAGCTAAAATGCTAGAATTTATTGGTTGAAAAGGATAATATCGTTGCGTTCGATTTAATTTGGCTACTGGTTTTTGGAATTGATTTTCAAGTACCATTTTTCCAAATTGAGATGTCATTTGTCCAATTTCGTTTACTTTTGATTCTATTCTATCCATTCTAGCGAATTGATTTGTTTTTTGAAAAGGTTTTTTAAGATAATGTGAATCTAAATCTTCATTACTATATATACCTAAATCATTAAAGTATTTTGCTATATAATAATTTTTATAATCTTCTTCTGTTTTTAAATTTGATGGGGAGCCTCTTGGCTGTCTAACCGGTTTAACAGTTTGTGGAACTGGTATCTGTGTTTTTTGCACTTTTTGTGATTGGAGTTCAGCTTTCAATTTTTCTATTTCAACTTTATGCTCTGTTTGCTGTTTTTTTAATAATTCTTGCTGTTTATTAAATTCATCTTGAAGCATTTTTTGAAAATCCTGAGTTGGCAGTTGTGAAACTATAGGTTGCAGTATAATACTGTTATTTTGCTAATATTTTTTATTTTGTCTAACCTGAAAAACTTGTTTTTGATTTAATTTATGATAAATTGTAGCAAGACTAATAAAGAAAGTATTAATATCTGCAGGTGGATTTATACTCATTCGAACTTCAATATTTTCAGGCAAATGATCATAAAGATATGGTAATAGATCAGCATAAGGTATATAGGTTAAATATGGCCTTATTCTTTCTCTATATATATCTGGTGTATCAGTTGGATTGAATTGTTCTTGGGATAAAAATCTTTCTGCAATCTGTTTGCTTCCTACTGTTTCTGTACTATACTTTCCTTTTAACCATGTTAAAAAGGTTACCGGGGTGTTTATCATGGTGTAAAAATTCAGTATACCGAAACTAAGGAAGGTGTTGTTATTGCTGAGTGCGATCATCAAGAATTTGAAAAATATGCTTTTTATAGACAAAATATAGTAGATTTTCATTTACCATTAACTGAAAGATACAGAGCTTGGGTCAAAGGTCTTCACTTAAATGATAATACTTTTAATAATTCTGTTATCCGATTAATACATATGTCTCCTAATGAAGTTGTAAAAAGAGCATTAAACAGTGAAAAAATATTTGCAGAGCAAAATAATAAAATAACTAAACAAATTCAAAAAACCAAATTTCAAAATTTTTTAAAAAGAAGTGGAATATATTTCTTAAAAATAGTCCTTTTAAGGTTGAAGATAGTTTTTTTAAAATTGAAGATAATTTAACTGTTCCAGAATTGGATTTAAAAAATTTAGCAAAGACAAAATATGGATCAACAAGACAAAATAATAAGTTAGTAAAAAGTGCTCACTGTCTTAATAATCCAGGATGCATAGTGGATCAAAATAATCGAACTTTGATTCATTTAGAAAATATAGATGATCAAAATGCCTTATTACATGTAGTGGGAATAACATAATTATGTTATTCCCACTTAGTTTAGGTTATTTCCACTCAGGTATGTGGCTTGACGACTGAAAGTGGCCACCGTCTTCATGTGGTCTGATGACAAAAGTTGGCCACCATCATTAGTGGCGTGATTCATTTTTTAGGTCACACCCGAACGGGCATATATCGAGTTGGCAGTCTAGCTGATTTTTATTATCAGATTGTATATGATGCATTGTATACCAATCTGGTGTTTGCGGTTAGTTTTAAAACTAGTAAGCTCCCCGATTTAGGTTATGAAGTTGTGCGTGCGACTACTCTGTATAATGTTTTAAAGCTTCTAGATTTTTAAATTCGTTATTAAAAATTGTATAGTATATGGTGACTATATTTGATTTCGAATGTAAGGAACTTCCTGAGGTAGGTTATGCTGGGGAAGAGTCAGCTGTAGGTTGTTTCCTATCAGATATGTGGTCTGATGACAAAAGTTAGTCACATGGGTAAAAAAAATATATCTGACAATGCATTCAGTCACGTGTCGTCATTTGTAGAGGTTGACAGTGAAAGTATTTGTTATCGAATGTGTTTACTTACTCTATCTCATTACCAAATAATTCGTGTATCTTGTTTATGATTTTATATTTATCAAGAACATATTGCCATTCTCTTTTTCCATTTATTCACACTTGTTTTTTCTTAAATCCGATTAATGAAAATTTTCTTCCTAAACTAAAGTTATTTAATAGTTCTTTATTATTAATCTCACACCAAGTAAGATATTCTTGATACAAATTCATCATACTAACTTGATCAATTCTATATTCAGACCATGATGAAATATACTTAATTATAAATTGAATATAGTTAGGATATACTGAAGATAACTGCTGATTTGTGTTGTCAATTATATGATTTTCATTATTATCTGTTGTCTCATTGATCTGTA